TCTTAGACAAAGTTGATTGTCACTGTCTAGAGTGGGTGGCAGCCGCCTTCTCCCCAGTGCCAGCTACCATTGAAGTGTCACTTGTTTGCCACTCCAATTCCATACCTTGAACTCTCCTCAATGATTAACACAACTCCTTTGTACGCTCCTTTAAAAAACAGTTATCAAAAGTGTATTTCTAGGTGTCCCTCAGTCAAACCGCCCTGGTGACTAGCAGGTTGACATCCACCTGAGAAGCAACAGASTATTTTCCTAACACACTATGAGTGTGTCAGGAGAAGTATATAGGTTTTGTAGGAGTAATAATGTTTCCCATTGAAAAAGCAGGTATCCATCAACTCATGGCATTTCAGAAAGAGCTTGTTACTGAGGTGTGTGGAAAGATTTTCTCATTGCCTCTAAAAATTTTTTAGGTCTTTGAGGTGCCTCAGAGAAAGAAACAAGCATCTGAGCAAAGAAATATCTGTTGTGCAACTACTGTTTGCTGATCACATTATCTCCATAGGCTGACTTTGGGGCATGGCAAAGGTGTTTTTTTTCCCCCTTAGCAATATCTTTGTGGTGAAAAGTAGATCAAATGCAACACTTCAAAGAACCATCCAAATATTGCACAAGGAATCAGGACCAACTTTGCCAGCACTGACCTTGAAACTACTTTCTAGTTTTATACTGTGTACAGCTAAGCTTAAATATTCCTGGCGCGTAGCTGGGAAAGACCTCACATGCAAACTAAAACCTACAAACCCAATCTCTTCACAAGAGCTCCAGTACCCTTCCCCATCCATGTTATTTTAAATAGAATTGACCTTAATCAACAATCATTCAAAGAGCACATTTGGTTTGGACTATACTAGGGGGAACCTAAGCAATGATTGCTCATCTCTAGAGAAAACGTTTTATCTTTGATTTGATCTGTACCCTGAAAGTGTTTAATTTCATCAATTGATTTGAAGAAATTTAGGAGTCTGAAAGTGAGACAGCATGTATAATTCTCTAGTTGTGAACTTGAAATTATCTATGATGCCACACAGGAACACCTGATTTCTGCTGCAGCATATGACAAAAATCAGCCTTTCACTTTTAATCAGAAAGATTATAAACAGATGTAATTCTTTTGGATTCAATTTCTTGCATTCTTCATTTGGTAATTCAGCTTTCTATCCTCAGTCTTTGTAGAAACATTACACCAAGAACTTCAGGTATTTAAAAATAGGATGGAATTATTGCTACCACATTGCAAAAAAATAGATATGCATTATGGCTAGTTAACCCTTTCAGACATGAACATTTGTTTTGAGAGGCCAAAAAATAAACATTTTCTATTTCCTAATACTGTTTTAAAGTACATGCAGTCAGCTCCAAAAGAAGCTGCAGCTGGGCTGCCACCACACTTCATGACATGCTTTAATTCAATAAGATGGCACAGAAGGATATACATTTAAATTATAATTCTCACCTTTCCATGCTCCTATTCGTACATGTTGCTGGTTTGTGCAAACTGCAAGCAGACAGAGCCAGTTGTGCATACAAAACAAGCACTCAAAGGAAAAAACTATAATCGGTCATCTCTGCTACTACCTCCTACATAAACCAAGTTTCACAAAATGAGGTCATCTAGTCTCTCTTTGAAAATTCAATGAATCATCTTAATTGCTAGCTTAAACATTCCATTTCTTGACATATAATTAAGATCTGAAGAGTTAAAATTATTTAAATACTGCAGAGTATCAAATTTGCAACTTCGAGCACCATATGAGACCACAACCTTGAAGCACAATGAACACATCAAATACTCAAATTGTAGCACTTGAAGTGATAGTAACAGTGCTTGATATCCCCTATAGACAAAAAAGTCTAGAAATACTGTACAAGCTTTTTCAATAGTTTCTATGCAGAAATGAGGTGGTACGACATGCCAAGAGAATAGTAGCTACTTAAGGCTGACATTTTATTATGACTTTAACACGAGAACTTAAATTGAATAGGTATTCTCATGTATGTACAAAAAGTTATAGGAAAAAATATATATTAGTAGTCTTATCTTTTGACTAAGTTTGACTAAGTTACCAAGATGCTTTTGAGTTACCAAGAGCGGAGAATTTAACCTTATTCTTGCTGTGTAAAATTTAGCAAACGGCATCTTCTGCTGTAACACTCTGAGAAATGTACTGTAGCTTCATCAAGGAGCAAGCTAATTTTTAATAGCTATTCATGCATCCTCAACACCTACATGGAGAATATTCTTCAAGTTGCTACTGGCACACAACTTCTGAGACTTAAGTAGTTCTAGAAACAGCTTCTGAAGACTATTAAAATTGAACTTTGTTTTTCATCCTTAGCTTTCACTCTTAGTTAAAATTTAGCAAGCTACATATTCAGAAAGTGTTATGTAAGAGGTAACATCTCTTAAAAAGTCTTTCCTTCCACTACTTTTTTTAATATATATTTAACCAGCATGAGAACAGTTTATCAAACAAATGATACTAGACTACAGAGCCTGTACTTACATCCTGAATTTTTATGACAATATATAGAAGACTGTCCATAGCACACAATATACCTGATTAAGAATTAGCAATGGTTGTATTATGGCAGGTATATGACTTCCCAGCTTTCATACTAATTTTAGTTTTTGTTCTTTTATCCAATCACATGTACAGTCCTATCACTCATTGATTTTTAGTATCCTACTCCCTGTGTAAATGAATGCCTTCTACACACTCATCTTGACATATGACATTGCTACTAGAATCATCTATTTAACTTCAGTATTCATAAAACCTGTACCTTTAATTAAGGTATGAGTAAAACAAGAATCTGTCCTATATTTTGAAAATCTAAATCTGAAACATATCACATGTTTCCAAATTAACATCAAAATGTACTCTCTTAAAGCTTTTAATTCTTAAAGCTTTCTATCAACAGCAGAGAGTCATGAGGAAAGTTAGCTTGAGATGCATGAATTTATTTATCTTGATCTACCATCTGAGCTAGAAGTTACTCTACTATACAATGCATTTAAGTCACTAAATACAAGAAGGATATTTCAAAGGGAATTGCTGAGGAAGTTGGTGGAATGTGTATGCTACTCCTCCAGATATCAGAACAAGGCTGTTTTACTATGACTTCCACTTGAAAACTGCATCCTTGTGACAATGTTTACATCTAGAAACAGAAACAAAAAAGGATGAAAGATGAGCACTACCTACAGAACTAAGGACTAGAAATGCTACTGCACAGTGGAAAGAGAAAGACCAACACAAGTTTATCTTTCTCCTTCTCTGAGATGGAAGGCCTGAGACTGTCTTATTTCTACAAGCTAAAATAATTCTTTGACTTGCTGTACTTAGTTACAAATTCTGTTCAATATGAAAATAAGCTCCACTCTGGCTTTCTGTCTTCATCACCAGATGCTACTTTGAGCACAGTTATTACCTATTTAATGTGAGCAGAATTCTATTCTCTGATGCTAGCTAAGTGCATTTAGTTAGTTGCATTGCTAAGTACAAACCTTTAGGGATCTACCTCAGTTCCTGTAACACTACTGAGCTACTTTACTACTTTAACTACTTTTTTTTAAAAAAAACAACCTACTTTAACACTACTGAAAATATTTGGCAGAAGCTTTTCAGGTGGTTTAACAAAGTAGGCAGCAAAGAGTAAGGACACTGGGAGTCCTGACAGTTATTTACCAAACACATGCACTATGTATACCACATACAAAGCAGACATTCTCTTAATTTCCACTTTACATTATCTGTTAGATTACCAGTTCTGAAACTTTCCTCAGTGGTCCATAAACCTTCCATCAGAGCTAAACATTTTATAGTTACTGACAGCTATCCAATATGAATTGAATATGAATCACCAAAAGTGTACTAAATAAAACAGGAATCATTTTCATCATGTCAAATGATAAAATGAAATAATTCATAAGAGAAAGACATATGAAAAGTTCTCATTTGCTTCATATATATGTAGATCCTATATTTTTCAATTCATTCTTTGTCAAAAATGGTCATTTATCTTCATATTTATGAAACAAATAGCTTCACAAGGTATAGGAGCTCATCTTCTATGTTTAACTCAAATATTACACTAAATTACAACTTTTGAAATATACAAGTAGTTTCCTGAGTTTAACTTCACACCAAACACTAAAAATACAATCACTATGTCAGTATTTTAAGCAGTCAAATTTTCCATTAAAAACTTTAGACAAATATTTAGTTATGCCTCTGAAAGAACAGTCATTTAAAAAGACCTCTAGCAAACAACTACTATCCTTACACAACCTAAGTTTATAGCTTAATACCTTAATGGGAGTTAAAATATAAGTGAAAGAACATAACTTGGAATCAACAGGCAACTATTTATGAGAATGACTTCAAGTATTTGGGCACAAAGCTTCCAAACTCACTTTATAAGGTCAGCACATTACATCTCAGAAATCATCTACTTGTTAACAAGTATTCAAATCTTCACTCCAAGAGCGACTTCAATTTCAGTTACATTCTATATATGAAGAATGCACCTTGTCTCCAATGAACTTGTTTGTTCAAAAACTGCCACCCAACATGTGTAAAATGAAAGGAAAAAATCAGTCCACATTATTCAATATTTTAATTTCCAACAAGGTAAATATAAACATTAACAAACAGAAAATGTTTTGGAAAAGACCACATGGTACTACTCTAGTATTTCAGTTCATAGAAATATAATTTAAACTTTTATAAAAGTTATAGGAAAGAATAACAACTTTAAGTAACATAATATTGAAAAATAATAAATCTCAACATTAGTACTTGGAGTACCCATCTCATAGTGAAAGTGCTTCAACACCAGTGTTGCAACTCAAGATTAGTGCAATATGCCAAATGCATTTTAAATCAAACAGTAATTGTGCAAGTTCCTACAAGCAAAAAAAACTTCCACCAACCTCAAAATTAGCATTAAGGTAAGGGTCCTAGCTAGGTTTAAACATTCCTTCAGTGGCTCACACTGATTCTACTACCATGAGAAAAATGCTAGTGTCCCTTTTTAAGGGAGGAACCTTAGCACATGAAACTTGTACTAAAAGTAAATGCTTAGAAATTAAAAAGGTCCTGAAAATATACATTTTAGTGAATTTATGACCTAATGCCACAATCTAATATAAAATAAACTTTGCTGTTAATGCATGCAATTTTCTTTTGAACACATTTTGTTCCCAAATGATAGTGTTTCCTAAAAACTCACATAGTTATCATGTAAGCTTAATGTAGTAATTTCACAGTATTTTTATTCTAAATATGAAACATTTGATTATCAACTGACTACAACTATGATTACAACTAGTAGAAAATCAAAATGAACTCTCTAATGATGATTTACACATGACAGGCTGGTTAGTACCATCTTATTACAACAAGAGGTTCTCTGAACTTCCCCTAGTTTTATTTTCTACAAGACTTCAAAATTCTAAAATTATGATGCAATTTTCAGTGCATAGAAATTGTCTTTTACATGCAGGCCTCATTTCCAGAGATGCAGAAAACAGACTGCTAATGCTGAACCCTTTGGGACATTTGCATATCAACATAATTTCATATTCCTGTTCTGAAGTTGTTTATAAAGTAGGATTGAATTCACCATCAACAATAGGAATAAATTAGAAATTAATAAACTTTCATTCTAAATGTTTATGGCTTAAAAACAATTTGAACCATTTTTCATAGTATTGCACATAAACCTGCATTAAGCTAACAGTTGAAAACTGCACAGAATTCTTACAATTTTCAAAAAATAAAACATAACTATGAAATAAAAAGTTACAAGTTGAGTTCATATTTCTCCCACTGCTGTCAAAATCAATCCAAAATGTAGGGACAGACCTTTGATAACTACATAGCTCTTTAAACATATCAGAAAATTCATAACAATAGGAGAAGCAATTAAAACTTTTCTACAGTAAAGTCATAAACTGAAAAGACAGTGTTCTTCAGTGGAAGTCTAAGTTCACAAGAACAGGTTGCCTTTCTTCAAGATCAGTTCAGGTAACAAATACAGTTATTCTGTGACCATATACTTCATTATTTTAAAGGCAAGTTAAGTCCTTTTTTTAAAAAATATATTAACCCTGTTAATGATGTAGAGACCTCCTATGCCTGAAACAGTAAGTTGATTCCTAATATTTAGGATCTTGTCATTGCAATGACAAACCGGTTAAGTCTTTAGTACATTTTCTAAGCATCTGTTCTACCTTAGGATTTTCAGCTCCGCTGGTTGCTAGATCCTTGTCAATAAGCCCCAGGTTGTGCAAGTTAATAACAGAATCCGCGATAATCCGTGCTGTCCTCTTCTGATAGCCCCCAGACGTCACCATCAAGATGGGGATTCTGCGGCGTCTGGCAGCCTTGAATACTATTTCATCTCGTTTCACAATTCCCTACATATTTAAAACAATTACAAAAAAGTGACATAGAGTATTTAAGTTTTTCAATTTCTAGCCTATGATTGACTATAAGTATTGGATAAGTGATGAAGCCAAACGTTTTATGGTAGGAACAAACTACTTTCAAGTCCCTAACAGCTTTAAAAGTATAATCTTAAAAAACAGTAACTTTTACTTTGTTTTTAGAGGACATAAGACTGAAGTCTTCTTATAAAATCTCCTAGAATAATTCCTCCCCAAAAAACATACAATCTAAACACTGCATGATCAAGTTTTAAAATTTCACCTATTTCACAGGTAATGAATTGAGACTAAGATCGCCCAAATTCACAAAGCATCTCAGAGCACAGTGTAAGGTACCTGCTGGGGGCAGATGACAGGAAAAACAGATGACAGAACAGGGTTGGGGAAAGAGGAATTTCCTATTTCCCAAATGCCAGAAAAAAAAACAGAGTTAAGAGTAAAAAGATGTATCTCTCTGGGTACTATTGGAATTGTTTAAAAGGAGTATACTTTAGAGAGAAGATGAGGAATATTTCAATGGGCACACGATGAACAAACATTTCACATTAGCAAAGCAAGATAAAACAAACATGGGGAAAAGGCAGAAAAATCTATCTGCTACAGAATAGGCTCCTCAATCTGAAATATTCTTCTTGCTTTCATCTAACAAGCTTCCCCAAGCGATTCATTGAGGTTTACTTTTGCCATCTGTTAAGAAAAAGTCTGTACATACTCCAGTATTATACAAACCTGAGGCGAAATAGCAAGTCCTCCCAATGGATCACCATCTAGAATATCTGTCCCAGCATTATAAACAATGATGTCAGGTTTTAATTCATTTAATGCTCCTTCYACATGAGTTTGTACCTTCTGAAGATATTCTGTGTCCTCTGTACCCCACTCTAACTCCACCTTGCGTTTTATGGCACCTAGAAAATGTTCCAGTGTTATTGAATAGAATTTGAATAGCTATTAAAGAAAATGATATATCTAACTAAAAAAGATAGTATTCTCAAAATAGAGAATATCTTGCATTTTCACACAATCTTGAATTAAAAAGCAATTTGTTTTCAACAATGTGTTCAACAATTTGTTTTCTCAGAAAACAGCAGCTATATAAGCATAATGACCTGGAAAAAACATTGAAGAGAATATTTGATGTACAAAAAGTTCAAGGACACTAAGTAGAAAATGCTCTTGAAAAAGAAAAATCAGCAAAAGAAAAATCATTAAATTAAAAACTTAAAGGGCAAGGGAAAGAACAAACAACTGCTAATAAAGACAATCAGTTGGAAAAAATAGGACTATGAATATCACTAAGATAAACAAGCAAGATTGTTTATTTTTAATCAAACTTCACATAAATTCACGGTCATTTGCTGTTATGTCTTTTATGAATGCATTTAGTTTTGCCTCAAGCATTTACAATTTAATGTTCTTATTCTACAGTCTGACCAGAAGCAGCAAATATCTATTCCTAGTTTAAAGCAAATTATTTTTAATGCCTCTAATACAGCATTAGAAACAAAAGAGGGTAGAAGGAAGAAACTCAAGATTATACATTCTATTTTAAGGGATTCTTAGGCAGTTACCTCAAAATATGAGCTAACCAAATTATTCCAGATGTCCATCAAGGTACGACTTTTGCCTCAGCACACAGTATGCTGTGAATTAAATGGCTGGGTGGGCTGGATTTTAAGTGTGGTTTTGTACACTCTGAGTATGCATGAATGAATGCAACAGTGACATTTAATTCATACTAATGATTGCTAGGCAGTTCTTTTTCCATTTTTCATCCTTGTCCAATATTAGGAAAGATCTTTTCCTTTCCATGTCCTCCTTGTATCAAAAATAGTTTAAGACTTTTGTTTCTTTACAATATCATATTTCCTGAATTCCATTCTTATTGTTACATAAAACATTCATGAAGGTCTGCACAGCTGTACTCCTCTGAACAACATTTGAGAGTCTCTTCAGGGTAAAGAGGATGCTGGATAGAGCTTTAAAGAACAAGGCAGATGAATTATCATGGGGAGTAAATACAAATTGCTCCCATGAAGCCATTAAGCACAAACTGCCTCATGAATAAGATCCCCTGCTTCTCCAGGCATCCTGCCTTCATCTCCAACACAGAAACCAGAATTACAATGAGTAATTACCCAGCTCAGTGTTACCGAGACAGTGAGGTCTGTTTCTCTCCCTCTTCCACCTACCACTAGTTAATGAAAATACTTCTAACGTCTTTAAGATGGGTAAAAAGACACTCAGCTCAACAGCAAAGCTTAAATGAGCTGCAGTGTTGACTTCATATTGCTCACCCTTCAGTGAACTAGACCCTTTCCCAATCTATCGTCTCTTTTCCTCTCCTGAAGCTTCTTTAAAATTCCAAATCACTTCTCAGGGACACAACATGCTGATGCTCAGGGCTCAGCATTACAAAATGCTTAGGAAAAAAATGTCTTTTTTTCCTAAGTGTGCAAAAAAGTAACTTGTACAGAACAAACTCATCTAATAAAACAGGAGGGAGAGATTAAGTMCAGGGAGACAAAGATGAGTTAAGATTTACCCTGGAGATTCAAACCGCTGTATTTCTCTCTAAAAGATCCTCCTCAGATGTCATCTTAATCTGGTCACCTAGCGCAAGGGCTTTAAGTATTTAGACAATTCTTTTTTAGGATTGTCACATGTCTCAGTACAAATGATCTTCTCCCCCCTCACTCCCACMAAGTAATGTTTCTACAGAATTGGTAGCTATTTAATCATTACGAAAGCTTTGGAAGTAGAATTCATATCAATGATAAGGCCTAGGCCCTCAAAATGATTTCTAGCATATATTAAAATCATTTCATGTAACTGAAATATGTAAAATTTTACATTGTCCATCTACTCAGAGTGGATTTTTCTATATTTTTAAGCAATACAATGCTCAAAACTAAATAATTTAAATACAGTGAAGGACTAAACAGAAATGTAAGAAATCAACACCAGTTGACTTCTAAATTCAATATTTGAAATTGCTAGCAGAATTTCYGCTTTGGTCTTAAACTACCTGTTAGAAATGTCATTTCATAAATGGAAAAAGAGGTTTTTAAGCCTCCATTTGTCTGATTATTCCACTTACATCATGTGCTTTAAAGGGTCATTCTTAAAGCTATTAGGATACAGGCATAATATTTTCAAAAATCAGTAGTTTCAACTCCTAGTTAAAAATATAGAAGTACAACATATCAGTTCTAACTGTGATTAGCTTGATATGAGTTTTTGAATAGACTGCTACTATTAACCACCAGTACTAAACCTTCACATTCCAGAGGTTTCTTAGCTAACTGTTGCATTTTTTTTAATGTTGAAAAGAACTGCAGAATGCTGTGTTATTGACAGAATACAAGACTAGGTTCACAGTAGATACTTTCTAATTTTTTAGAAAAGCTGTCAAACAGCTAAGCATAATGTGCTTAAACTAAGAATTGCTTTGTGCACAGATTAGAACATAAGTACATTCTCCAGGAACATTTAAGAAAAATCTCATCACTAATAGTAGCAACTTTCTTTAAACCAATATGCACCTTAACATGCGACCTAAAAAGCCCAAGCATGTGATGCAAGTCAAAAACATATTTAAATGTGAATCAGCATATTTAAATGTGAATAATTCTTTACTCAGTTCTTCCAAAGTTGCTTCACTCATTGTAACCTCAAAATAGCAGCTTGTTTCATTCATTTTTGACCTCGAAACAGCAGCTGTCAAACATTGTTTAGACTAYTCCATGACTTTCCTATTATAAATAAAAGTTCAGAGTCAGCAACACTTACCTTCAAGTCTCAYGTATGGAGTTATAGTATTAACATGAAATACATTTGTATTCTGTGATTTTCACCTGAACTCTCAAAGTCAAGTCTCTTGTGTTTTTATAGTATCTTACACACATTTATCTCCAAGTTCATCTCCCCTCTTTGGGGACAACATTGGTTTCAGGCCAAAAAAAGCATCTATGCAAAAGGCAGACAARGTACACCTACAAGTTCAGGAACTATTTTTAAATGCTTCTGATACCCCTTAGAATACTACAGCATTATTACAATTGGGAGTTAAAATGATCACTAAAAGTAATSATTTACTAATATTGAATACTATATTGAATTACAAATTGGATTCTATTGAATTTATATTGAATAGTAATTGTACTCAATATAAAAAATACAAAGAAGGTTCAGTTAGCACTGCTGCAATGAGACATAGTAAGTCAAAAGTTAGCAACTTAAGTTTCTCATTTTGAATATTAATTTCAAATATACTTACGTTTRGCAAATCCATCCCCTGGGTAAATGTATCTATTGTATGCATCCATAATATATACCCTGTTATCATCCATAAAGTCCCTCTCATGGCCATTTCCCTGAAGGAAATTCACAGTTAGATTTTTTCCAGCACTTCTATCAAGCTAAATCTGCTGATGTCAGTTCCACATTCAGAATAGCCTGCTACAAGGATACTTTAAAATATCAGATTGTAGTTATTCTGAGAGTTCAATCTGAGATAAGTAAAATAATTTTATAAAGTTGTTCATAAAACTAAATTCAATAGTTTTAATACACATAATCTCTTCACTTTTATTTAGAAAAGTTATGAGGTGCACTAATCAGTTTGTAAAACAATATTAAAAGTGTGTTTTTATCCGCTATTAGAATTTATGTTGTACATCCTACCAAACCTGAGATTTATTTTCAGTATCCACAATAAATCACTTTTCCAGGTAAACAGACATTCTGTACTTCATTAGCCTCAAGTCAGGCTTTCCACCACCAACGGTGAATGTCAAATTCATCTCCTGCAAAAGCTGCTGTAATTATCATGCATCCTGAACTAATACTGCTCAAGAGTCTTGTTTCTTCATGGATACAGAAATAGTCTAAGACTGTTACTCTACAAAACAGCATGCAAATCAAAAAATTTTATGTCCAGCCACATGATGGAGCTGCAACTCAGTTCAATTTTGACTGGTTTGTTAGCCAGTTGCATCATAAAACAACTAGGCTGTTCACAGCTTCTACTACCTATAATTAACTTCACATTCTATAATTTGCCATTCAATTAAACTTTTAGAAAAAATGGTATTCTTCACCCTGGTCTAGCAAAATAACTGCAGTACTGAACACAGGTAAGATACTCACCTGATGAGCATCCAGATCAATAATTGTGGCTTTAGACACTCCTTGTACTCTTTCAAATAAGAACTGAATATATAAGCAAAGAAGAGAATGAGATAGTTAGGTGATACATTAAATTGAAAGCTTGAAACTTGCACAGTTTTTATTTGAAGCACATAATAAATGCATTTCACTTTCTAACAGCTACATAATTTCAAAACACTTGATAATGAAAGCTATTTACTTGACYTAAAACTATGTATATAGGATAAAAAGGTATCTATATATTTGCATCATATGCATGAAATCAATGTAGTTTCATAGACTTCAGGCGTCTACCTGAAGAAAAGGTATGGGGAGAAAGTTCTACTTATCTCTTTCTCTCAAAGAACCCGACAATGTAGGATCAAAAAGTTTTCCACAATATCACATCCTCTAACTTGTGAAGTGGGCTCCACATGCAAGGCAAAAGCTCAAGAGCAGCTAATAGCAAAATTAAGTCCATTCTAACATGCCCTGTTAGATTAGCCTTGCCTCTGCACAAGACCWACTGGTATGTCTCTGCATCCCATAGCAGTTGGATGTCTAACCAGGRCTTAAAATGATCTGAACATTGATGCCACAAGACACCGTAGCAAAACTAGTGACAGCAAGAGTGTGAAAACAGCAACAACTGAGGGCTGGGACAGAAAACAGCACAAGTTCTGAAGCAACAAGGAACTATAACATAGATCACAGCACATTTCTCAAATGCTTATCAGCAAGAGTAGCCAACTGTACAAGTGCAGAATTCCACCATTAAAAGCAAAAAAAGCTGCAAAAAGGACCATGTGCCTTAGCCATTTTTTAAGCTAATACAATCAATCTGCTATCATATGTTGAGATGTTCAATTCCCAACATCTTAATTTAGAACTTGGACAAACTAACATTAAAAGATAAAAAAATCTATTTTCTAATAAAAAGCTACTTTCTCCTATTCTGTGTTTAAATGATAGGGAAAAGAAAACACAGCATTTCTTTTCCACCAACCGCAGAAATTAACATGTGCTATGAATCCTTATGGCTTTATGCTTACTAATATTTTACAGATATCCTAGCATTACAACACCTCAAAAACTAGTCTTAGCAGCAGAAGGCTCTTTCTTCAGCCTTTCAACAGTAATACCAAGTATATCTCTTTACGTCACCTGGTTATTTTGAAGATATTTGTAATTTCACTCAAGTCAGAGCCTTTCCCACAGCTTGATTCTGACAGGATTCCTGTCTCTATATAGGACTTGTCTATAATCACTGAAGCTCACAGGGACTTAGCAGTTTCAACTGCAAGACTGGGATAATTATATATGAAAGCTACTAAATGACAATCTAGTTAGATTTTTAGCTTTTGTTTTCCAATAAAACATTAATACCACAATTATAACAAGCTGTATTCCTACTCAATTCTATTCCCTGCAGTTCTTCACCTTTATAGTAGCTGCGCATATGTTATACTGTAACATCAAGTAGAGTAATTCCAATATTTCTCTTACCTGCCTAGAGATCATTTTCTCCTATTAAGATGTAAATTGGAATATGCTTATAAACTTATGATTTTTTCCCCATTTACTCAAATGGTAGAGGATAGTTTTCAAGTATTTCTTACCTTAATAGCCAGTGTAATATCAGCATATGCACAAAATCCTCCACCTTTGTCACTTGAACAGTGATGAAAACCACCTCCTAAAACAAACATTTCAGAGATGTGAGCAGCTAAGTACAATACATGTTCCTCAGTTAAAGGACAGTTTACTTCCATATCAGGCTTTTCTCTTTCACCAATATCACACCTAGAGCTATCAATTCCCTATAGAATAACACATATCATCTGTATCTTATATTTTGCCTGTCAGGCCACTAACTCCCATTATAAAAGGGAATTGTCCTTTTAATCTAGCAACCACAATAAGAACTGAGTAATATACAGATATAATACATGGCACCTAAATGACAAAACAGCTGTGGAAGTACCACTACTCCCAAGCACGTTATCAGGGTTGCACTTCATTCACAGGAAGTCAATTTAATATCAGGCAATTGGAAAATAGTTTTTCCATGTGAAAAGAGTCATAAAATACSCCATAAGAACTACCATGTTGCCTCTGTTTGCACATGCTGTTACACTGAAAGAAAAGGTATTTTACCAACAGACTAGGAGACTTTAAGAACACATCATTAAGGTAAAATCATGCATGCACTTTATACCGCAAAACACTTACTCCACATACAAAACTTTAACATTCTAGGCCACAATATTCTACTGAGAAATCCACTACAAAAATTTTGGCCAGAAATTTAATGAACTCAATCACTTGGTATATAAGCAAGTAACTGGCTATGGGTTTTTAATGGTTTTTTTTYCTCCACATTTTGGATATTTACTTTGTAAAAATATATATCGTAGAGTATTACTTGCTAGTAACAGTAAAGTGGAAGATAATTTTCAGTTTTACTATAGCAAATCTTCCTTTTTCTAATTTCCTAAATATTCCTAAGGAATTTCCTAAAAATTCTTTTTAATTGAAGGTAGAAATTTATTATATTTTAAAAATCAAATAGGACTTAAAAATCAAAGAGATGCAACTATATAGGATTTACTGCTTTTAGAAACACGAAAAAGTGTAAGAAATAGATGAAAATTCCAGCACTGGTAAACTCTAGSTAGTATTCAAAGTTYTGTATTATAAAACATTGCTTTGGTTGTTTACTGGTTTTACACCATTTGAAAATAGCCAAACAGCTTCATATTAATTTCTACATGATTTGCCCATTCATGTTGTTTTCAAGAAAAACACAATTTAAGTACAGCACTGCCAAGAAAAACTGATACAACCTACCTSTAGCATCAACCAACACCTGACTTGGTGACATGTGAACTAATTGATGGTAAGGTCCATGAAAATTAATGCACAATTTAATAAAAATAATTTGTCTTGAAATATTTGCTTTTATTCCACATATTTCTCCCTTTTATCTCATTAATGCAAGCCAAATGCTTTTCTTAAAATATATATCTTTATCTARTTACCTTTTTCCGTCCTGCACTTAAACAATATTAACTACAAAACCATCATATGAGTGACTATAGATGAGAAAAAAAACCCTGAACTTTCCCTTTTCCCCTGTAAGCCCTGATTTTAGGTAAGTACACTTGAATCACTTATTCAAAACAGAATACACATCATGCTAAATAAGGATATATTTTAAAGAGGTTAAATATTTAGTTTGCTACGATTGTACTTACCCACATTAATTGCCCAGCCTCTATCAATAGCAAGTTTTCCTGCCTTAAGAAAAWCACAGTGAGAACTTCACAAACAAATGAGTCAACCGTTTCACACTATGTGCTATCCTAAAGGTAACTGTTTCTAACACACCCATTGAAGTTTCACCTCTGCAGGTCGCTTTCAATCAAGATCTCTCAATACAAACCATACAAAACTACTCTTTGCATAATTTGAGATAATATTTAAGTATTTTATGCTGACATACAGCTCTAAAACTAACCATGCATTGTAAAGATTAATATCAATCCCTAGCAGATAAATGAAAAAGTAAAAAGCACAGGATGCTTACAGATAATACTACTAAAATAGATAAAATCTGAAGTACTAGTGCGTTCARAAGTAGAAATATTGTTAAGAGAAAAATGAGCAAACATGTTAGTGCTCTTCCTGTGATGTAAAAGTATGAGAAAAGCTCTAAAATCCTTAAAATAGAGGTGAATATAATCTCAACAAGGTAGAAGGGAAAAAAATGTCCTGTGATGCCTCATTTAAATGATTAGCACAGATGTTACCATCACCTAATAAGCTCAAAAAATATTTTAATTAAGCTCCATTACTAAGCATATTCTTTCAGAATTCTGTTTTCTATTCTATTCCAGAATYCTATTTTATCTGGTTCTCATGATTGCAGTAATATAGCTTGAAAAAAAAGCAGATGAAACTGTTACAACRTACAAACATATCAATTTATTTCAGGCTGTGCTTTTTTTGATCTTAAGAAACATGCACATCCATGAAGAGAGAAAGAGAAGAATATTAATGCAGAAATAGAAAACAGAGGTAAAATTCAGAGATAAAAACAGCAGCTTGGAGGGTCCAAGAAGGGYGAGACAACTTCTAGTTGAAAACTATTTTCCACCCACAACCTGCAAGAATGGTAAATATCATGGGATTCACACTGTGCTATGACTTGGAAAGACAACACCAGTCATTTCTACTTAGCAGTTCAGATCAATAAGCAGCAGTTAATTCATTTCACAGTAGATAGTTTCAGGATCAAGGAGSTGACTTTCTAAACTTCCCCTCTATTTTTATGTATGTTGAAAACTTATTGCAAATCTTCCTTTGATAGAACTTTGCTATTGTAGCAACTCTTTCCTTATCTTCCCAACATAAGGAAGTTTTTCCTCAAGGTATGTGTATATCTAGACTTTCTAATCTACTGTGTACTTCATGTTATTATGAAAATTTACATTATATACTATAAAAATAGGCCCCAGAATTACTAAAACTGCAACACAACTCAAACAATGTATTCAAACTTCCTGGAGATGAGGATACTTCAGTATCTAGTGACCGCTATTAATCCATTTCCTTTCATAATGCTTTAGGGTTCAAATCTCCAAATTAAAGAATCTGTTACTACTTAAAGAATCTGCTGTTTTGATCTGCACATTTAAATGTGACAGAAGAACACCTTACCATTATCGTTCCTCCTGTTTGGGTTCGAAGAGGTTTCAAAACCTTTCTCTGAACAAGGAAATTTGGAAGAAACAGGACTGGTGGAATTTCTGTAATTGTAGCCACAACAAATGACCACTACAAGTGGGGAGGAAAAAGCTCTGATTAATTATGACATTAAGATTCATTATCAACTATTCATTGATTTTATTAAAAAAGGAGCTTACAAGACTTTTTATGCAGCTCAAACTTAYATTTTCAGAGGCAAAAGACCAGATATTATCACTAACCTCCAAATCATTAGTAAGGTGGTTCTTCAAGATACARTTATGAAAATCATCACTTCTAATCAAAATATCATTATGCTGGTCAATGAGTAGTTCTCCAGTAACCTCTTTTAAACTACATGTAAACYATCTTTCAGTGGTATTGATATTTGTACTTAACACAAATCTAAAATATCCTTTCTAGTAGTGAATCAGAAGACACTAAGAAAAAAAATTAAATTCAAATATGTAAATATAGAACAGGCTTTAGTACAAAACCTGATTAGAATTTAACATATTAAAGACTCCTAGAACATGTTTCAAGAAAATCTTTTGTTCAACAGTAATATCAAGAAAAGGATATGAAGGTTGGTACAAAATATTTGCAATATGTAAATGCTTTTATTGAAAACACAAGTAGATTACTTCAAAGAATTCTAATAACATTGCTACCAGCTATGAAACTTCTAAATATATTTCACAACCTAAGTCACAAGCAAGACTATATACCTCTTCTATACTTCAAATTCTTACCATTCAAATTCTTAGTACTAAGGTACTAAGCAGCATGAACTGAAAACCCTGTACTAGGATTTTGAATGGATCCCACTTCCTTCAGTATTAAGAAATTTGAGTAGGGTTCTACATATTCTGTACCCTCATCATTAGCTGTATGTTTACAAATTATAGGATATTTGATCAATTTAACYAAACATGGGAAATGCTAATTTCAGTGTTTTCTGATAAGGAAAAAGCATAAGCTATTGAACAGCATCATTCCATTTAAACTCTTAATACTTTTATTTTTGTAAAGCATAATTACATCACCCCTGCACCATTCATGAACCACTTCAGTTTTGTAATATAGTCAAATCCAATAAAATGATATTGCATGATACCTTAGCTTTTAAACAAGTATAATGTAACAAGCGAGATTCCATCCTCTCACTCTAAAATAGAACCACAAGATCATTCAGTTCAAAATAAGTTTTCATGTTCCATGTCGAAAATCAGGACATTTCAGAAAGTTTAAATGGGGAGCTAGATTTTTATCAATCCCAAAATAAAGAAATGGTAGCTATAAAAATGTCAAGTAATCTGCRCTTCTATTACAGATTTTTGAAATCAAGGAAAGACTTTCATGCATAGTATGAGTAAAAAGTAAGCAAATCCATCTATTCAAAGTTGAACATATTTAAAATAAAATTTCAAAGTCGCTGCTTTGGACATAAGTTAAGCCCTTTACTGTGCTCATTTCTTAAAATACAGGGAAGAAGTCATTCGCCTAACAGAAGTCTTGGAATTCAGGAAGAAAACTACACAATTTCATGAAGATATGCCTTGAAAGGGTTTAAAACACTTGAAATCTCTTTGCACTTTTATTTTAAAAATCACTTTTTACATTCAAATTATAATAGCACACAAGTTGCTTTCTCTTGGGAGATAAATACTCTCAGACATCACCAAYTTATTGATTCGCTAATAAAGTACTTGTAGACATGCATCTATAACAATCAAATTTACAACTAGTTCTGGATYCATAAAAGAACCTTTAACATCATGGTCAGTAGTATGCCTCCAYTTATTCTGTTAACTCCATTTACCCCTTTTTCTTTGTTCATTATCAGATGATATTTTAATGTCTAAATATTAAATATATGACTTTAAGTATTTTTTTCCTAAAACTTAACTCCTTTTCTTCCAAAGGAAAAAAGTAACCAGGCTACCCATTAGCCTTTCTACATTTTAAGCTAATCACATTTTTCCCCAAAAATAAACCACTAGGCAACATCATTAACTTTGAACAAGTATATCTGAGACTTTGAACAGTTTCAAGATACTATATCAAAAAAGTCCCAAAGTTCAGAAATTTTCATTTTCCTAATTTGAGTCCAAATTCTGTATCATCCAAGYTTAATTTTGATAAGTATCTCTTGAATTCTAATGTAGTTACCTAAAGCAAAACTTATAAATGCATTGCTTGTCAGAATTTCATTTAAATTGTCATATTAACCTAAGTTCCCTTAACAATAAAACTTCTTAGTAAGGTTAAACCACTTGCCAAACAGCATAAACAGCARTAAGTACTCAAGAGCTAAAAGATAAACTCAAATAAAGTGTTAGAACAACAAAGTAATGGCTTTTATGATGATACATCCTTGACTAATACCAACAGCACAGAAATTATCCAAAACAAACTTTGATGCCTTGCCTCTCATGTTATGTATACATTGCATTCCAGAATTTARCAACAGCAAATCAAAACCACAGAATTTTCTTTAACATCTACATTTAAACAGTATTTAAACCTTTGATAACTTTCTGTAGCAAACTCCAGCTTCGAGGGAAAATTTGCAGAACCAACACCAAGCCACTAATGCAGTGTTATATTTAGAAACTCACTGGGGAGCAAGTCACTTAAGTACATCTTCAGCAGATAAAGAAAACAAGTTTCATCTGGATTAATACATAACCATAAAGACACAAAATTTGAACTTTCACAAAAGTCTCCAAGGTCAAGGTAAGACAACACTTAAAAGTAACATGGTGCCGAACTGGCACAATCTACTAACCCTCATGTTTTCTTATGCAGGACACAGACTCTTTTTCCTAATGCAGAAGTCCAGGGTTTTACCTGATCTACTTTCTGCACACAGTTTTCCTTCTCTTCCACCACTCTGACTCATCTTTAGGTCAACTTCTTCAGGTACTGTTAAGCCCACTAAATGCCTCCTCCTCTCCTAAATGTGCATGCAAGTCTGCTAGCAAATTCAACCSCAAAATGTAAATGAAAAATGATTGCAAATGTAAGTAAATGTAAATGATCTACCACTTAGACCAACCTAAGCATTCTCAGAAATGCAGACATCTTTGYAGTCTTCAGAGATGAGGTAAGAGAATACCCTGGAAATCTATCTCAAAAATATAGCACAGTAGATTTTGGATAGGGCAGGATAGAAGATACMTTGGGTGTTTTCATGCTTATCACACTTTTTCATTTGCAGCTAAACACTTATCATTAGTACTTGGCARGAATTCTCTAGCATGAGAAATGTGACATCTTCCTTTTCCCAAGGAAATTTGGGAAAACATTTCCTTGGGAAAACATTTTCCCAAGGAAATGATGAACCAGAGAAACCTGAATGCACAAGACTGCTTATAAACACCAATAGAGAATTTATACAGCTAATTCTCTGTAAAGATGTCCTATATGTACTAAAAATACTATGCCACTTCAAACTTGGGCTATGCACAGTATACCTTTTTTGCTTCAACAAGAGATTCAATAACAAGATGAAAGTGGTTCTATGACATCAAAAGCTCACTGGTATGTATAGCTGTAATGAAATCACATCTAATGATGTATTAAATTTCAAGCAAGTTTACAGGAAAGAAGGAAAAAGTGCAAAAACACGAAAAAAGAAGAAAGGTGAACAAAACAGTAGAGAACAGACCCCTTATACAGAAAAATATTCCAGAAATAGCATTACAAGCATTCCTTTACTGTTCAAGGGCAAAGATGTTTTCCAAGAAATTTTTTAAATTATCCCAAGATTAATAAAAATATCTTCTYTGCCCTCCAAGTACAGTTGCCAAAACAAATGTTATCTACACTCATCTAGTATCCAATTCCACCTAGAGGTGATAATATATTTTCAAAGATAACTCAGAAAGATAATTACATAAAAAATGTAATTTTAAAATAAAAATGCACAACTTTAACATATGTTTCATTTAAAWATGCCCAGTGTGTTCTTTATTCATTAATATGTGAACAGATATGAGCTGGTTTCGGAAATCTTTACATACAGTTAACTTTCACGATTATACCTGAAGTCTGCCTCTCGAGCCTCTATTTTCATCTTTCAGGTTTGTATTCCAGTGATACAGGCAGGATCTACAGTACAGCCATTAGCTCCCCTCCATACCTGGAGACTGACATGATGCTTAAACAAATTCTTATGGATTACATAAGGCTTGAACCCATAAGACAAATCTTGCATTTATAACACCATCTAAATGTATAGTCTCAGTGTTCTTCAGCACATATTTTCAATTATAGAACTATCTTTAATAAATCAAAATTTGCCCTTTTAAAGACTAAAACTCTCTCACTAATGAGAATATTGACTGTGTTTCAAACAGTTTTCCTTATATTTAACATTGCTGAAATATCAGTTCAGATATATGAAGGTAATACCAAAATGGTAGTACAATATGTAAGTTATTCTATATGTTAAGTGCTTTGAAGAAAAGAGCAAGAGCAAATAGGTCAAACATTAAGGCCAGCCCAAATAAAGTTATACTCATTGCCCTGGAGTTCTTTCTTCTGAGAAGAATCCAGAAAGGTTTCATTCATTAAATTGCTTTTGCAGATATCATGCAATTTTTAATTTTTACTGCTCTACATTGTAACATGCATAAGACCCTCAGCTTTTACTRTGATGACTGAACATCATTAAATCAAAGGAAAAATCATAGACTTGACTTGCTAAAAATTAAATATCGATTTTATGTTTTTAGAATTACAGTACTGTAACAGAACATTTTAAGGTTACCTTTGTAAGTTTTTTCTATGATTTTGTTCTTTTCTATAATTTGAATTTCCTACTTTTATAATTTTCCTTTAATATTCTCAATGACCTTTAATTCAGAATATGATGCCATTCTTCAGAATGACAAAGTAGATTCCACAATGAATTTATTAGGATATTTGTCGCCCTTAACAGTAATTTCGGCAGGTTTCTTGAAAAGCACATCAGTAAGTACCTTTAATTTATTAAGATAACGCCTTGTGTGAACAACCAAGAGATCTTCTTCAGTAGCTTCTTGTGCCTGTACAATCAAGTCATCTACAATTAGCTTTTCTTCTGAAACAACAAAAGAAATAACAATTGATATAGTGCATTATGGCAGAGTACAATAGGGGAAGTTAAGCCAAAGACACTACTTTGCAATTCCTACATCTAGATGTAGATCGCTAACATCATTTTCATTTCCTCTGTTTTGACAAGGTCTTCAAATATATCCTCTAAATATGTAAGATATTAAATTGATGTGAATATAACAAGTATTATCTATGGAAAGAGTTTTAAGAATGCTACCCTCTTGTTTAAACCAAACAAGAAGTGGGACAGACAGATCCAGAATCACAAGACAATCTAGGGCTCAATGCACTTGGGAAATCTTAGTGCTCATACCAAGAAGCATTCACCTCCAGGCTTTAATGTGCTTTAAGAAATTCCACAGCTGATATTAATATATAATTGCCTAAATCAGAGTAGACAGAAAAAATCAAGATTCAAAACAATTACTAGATTGCTCATGGAATTCAACTGACTTAACTGCGATATCTAACTCAGACAACCAGCTACCTACACTTAATTCAGTGAATACTCATGAGCAGCTTTTTCCTCATTTTAGTAACCAGATTTACAAGAGCAAATTAAGAAATACCCCTCCAAGATTTCTGCATGAAACAAGGATAATACAATTTAGAACATAAACCTAGCTGTACTTGCCAGAAAATTCTTAGTTAGGTGTGACAAAAACAAGTGCAGGAAAACCTGCTGTAATCTTCCTAGAAAAGTTTTGATATTTACTTCTTTGAGGTCTAAAACTTTATTCTATTTCATATTTCTATGCTGGAAAAAGTAGAACTTACTAATGAGATTTTTCCTCAACTGATACATGAGAACTCAGTAACAATTTGTTGCAACAAGCTCATGTCCCTCCTGAGACATTGAAACATTTCATCCATCTCAAAGCCAAAGTGTCAATCAACAGTGTCATCCCTGTAAAGGTAGAAAGAGATTTTCACCTCAGCTTTCTAGGAAATAATCAGCAACAAGGTTGCTGGCATATGGTACAAAATCCAAGAAGGCTGGAAACCAGGAGCTTCCTGGAATMTTTTGAGGCTTCTTCCAACCTTTACCAAGTGCAAAGTGACTGGGGAGAAAGATTTTCTGTGAGAGATGGAAAGACTTCACAAAAGAGCTAGATGAAAGTCTTTAAACAACAAAGGAACACAGTCAGAGGACATGCTATTAACACAATGGTTGTGGAACTAGAGACTTAAAGCCATTGCAGGAAAGATCTCAAACCTCAGCAATTGAAGTGACTCTTAGTGACTCTTAGGATGCTTTAACTGGCATAGCAGTCCACCTGGAGCAAGGAGGACAGCATTTAGCTGCTAAGTATTATCAGCCAAAAGACTACACAGACAGAACCAGCCCAGCTCTGCAAAAGCATTCGGACTTTCTGAATTTTTTTCCCCCTCCAAATCCRATAAGCAAGCCTAAGCTTCAAAGAGATTTATAGGAATTCTAAACTTGGTTCTTTCATTTATAACTCTTTAAAGTACATGTATCTTTCAATTTGGTTTAAAACTATTGTCGTGACAAATTTCTGATGATCAGAGGCATTTCAAAGCTCTGTTCAAACATCACAACATTCCATACAGAATGAGCCTATTCAAGTACTTTTGATATTTCTGCTTGAGAAGGACTATGTGCCAGACTCTGCAGTCTTAGAACCAACCATGCTCCATGTCCATTGAATGCAGCAAGCATTATTAACACTTTGCAACTGTTAACACTTGTGGCTTTACAAGCCAAATTGAATGTTTCCTTTCCGGTTTTACTTGATCCAAAAGCAATGGAAGATACGTCAAAGTTAYACACAGTACTCCCTGCATTGCAACGCAGATGTTGCAAGTCAAAGCATTTATCAGGTTGCCACTAACACAGGAAAGATTTCCCACTCACTACAGCAAAACTGAAGTCTGTGTTCAGTTTCAGGTCCAGGTTTAGTCCTCAAAACAGAAAAAAAAGCTGGAAATGCGAACAGCAGTGATCTTCAAGAACTAACTGAAATTCAGTGTAAGAGGAAAGTAGCTTTACAATTTACTAAACATTTTAAAATTGGTAAGTAGGCAAACACAGAGCTCTGGACAACCYGTATAAGGATCTAACACTCTGTATCTACCTCAGCTTATGCTTATGGTGAAGATTATGGTGCTAACTTCTAAGGTAAGTGTTAAAATGATTCTCAAAAACTCTACAAACTTGTTTCTTGTGAATGCCAAGCAATTAAATTCTACAGTTTGTGCTTATATTCAGACAATTAAGAAGAGAAATATTTCAAAATAGTCCATTGCACTCCTGCATTCATGTTTCTTCATACTCCCTACTCAGTTTCATTAACTTCTGGGCAAGAAATAAATTGCCTAAACCTGGTTACTGAGGAGAATGGCTGTTCAGCAAGTTTGCTTTTGCAATCCCATTTCAGAAGTTCCCCTCTTAACAGAAGCCATGTCTGGGAGAAAATCAGAACTGTGTTTWATTCTCTGGAATATACTAAAACATGTATTTCCAGAGACTGAGACAAATCTATTTATTAAAAAGCCACAGTGTAAAATGTCTGCTCTAACAATAATGTCACTTTTTAAAAATTACATATGCAATTTCAACATAWACAAGCAATACACAACAGATGGTATAGAATTCACCTCAGAAATCCTGAGGTGAACAATCAGTTTAACTTGCTAAGATTTTAGTCTACAAGTATATAAATAGAATTTATATTTCCAATAAATTTCCAATAGAAACAAAAGCACAGCTTAAATCTTCAAAAGAAGCAATACAGTACACCATYACATTGACAATTACTAGCACAAATTGGTAATTTCATTAACTTTTGTGCAACTGTTGGTCTAAGGTAGGTTCCTTCTTACTATTTTACCTTTCAAGAAATCAATTACTTTTCCCCATTTCCCTGCATCAAAAGGATGCAGTTTCTCAAGTCCCATGAAGGTGATGTTGTAGTCTGGAGAATATACGATAGGCCAGCGTGTTGATGGAACATCCTGATACAGCTCAGTTCTGTGAGGCCTTCAAAATATAAAGAAACTAGTCACCATTTGCAGCAACTGCATATGAAATTAATCTTTAACTTAAACCCAAATTCCWGAACTGGAGTTTCCACTAATGTTAACTATATTAAGATTGGTTCCTGAAGATGTTACATCCCTTGGTTACCAAAGGATAGGCACTTGTTTCTTGTCTTGCCAGTAGCACTGGCAAGATCATTATCTCATTTCTAATTGGCACAGTTAAGCTCCCAAACAAACAAGTAGTGGCRAAAAAAGGGATAATAGAAGACTAACTATATTGCAAAAACAATTGAAAACATTTGCTTCTTTCCAAATTAAGTGGTAACTTTATCTTGGAACATACATTTAGCTTTCAGTCAATATAAAGTTAAATATACTCATTTTCAGTCCGTATGTCAACAATTTCAAAATACCACTCTTCCTTCCTGTGACAGAATACATATATTAATTCAAGACTGAAATAATTTCCAAATCTATTTTTGGAAGCAATGGATTATTTTACTATCAGCCCAGAAAAAAGCMATTTGGTTTGTATCTACATACCACTCAACCACAGGACCACACTCCCAACTCCAGATCTTATGTCCACAACTGGCATCTCTCTCTAATTTCTATGTTTGCTAAAACTCAATAGCACAATCAACTCAGATCCCTCCTTCACAAGCTCTTTAGAGGACAGGCAAGAAATGCTGTGCTTTGCATTAAAGCCATAAACATTATCTGCTCAGCTAAAGCATGCACACCCATCATAGTCAAGAGGCCAACGGGGCAGTTCTGTGTTCACATGCACCTTGTCCTCCCTTTGCCCCAAGCCCAGTGCTACCCAACCAGCCCAGGACACTTCTTGCTCTGCAAAGCCCRGTTTGCAAAAATGCTACACAAGCAGCTAAGCAAGACAGAAGGGCCCTTTGTCAGATGCACAGTACAAAGACACCCTTATTTTCAGCCTAGATAYGCTCATAAAAACATCTAAAGAAATAAATTAAAGACAACAACAAAACAAAAAGACACAATTCAGTTTTTAACCCAAGTCTGCAGCTCCAACACCCCCAAAATTCCTGCTGAGGAGTCAAGCCRTGTTGGACGGCCTTGCTTGTCTCAGCAAGAGAGAACAGACACGTTCTGCAAGCAAAACGCATGAAACGGCCGAAAACGCTCCGGTGCTGGGTGCGAAAGGCCCCTCAAGGCCGCGAGGGCCTCGGGGCTGCGCCCTGCGCCGCGGCCAGGGCCGGGGACGCCGGAACCGGCCTCGCGGCTGCACCCGCTGCGGGCGGCACCCGCTGCGGGCGCCCTCCCTCCCGGGCGCCCTCCCTCCCCGGGCGCCAGTACTCACATGCCCGCGGCGGGCGCAGCGCCGCCAAGGCCGCGCGGGGAAGGGGCGCCGCGGCTGCCGCAGCGCCAGCGGCCGGGCCCGGCCCCGCCAGGGCGGAGACGCGAAGCGGCCGCCCCGGGGCGGACGAGGGGCGGACGCGCGGCGCGGGCGAGAGGCACAGCAGCCGTTAACGGCTTTTATGGCGGCGGCCATTTCCCGGCGTGCCCCGCGGCGGCCGTTAACGGCTATTTTAAGGAGGCGCGGGGACACCCACAGTTTTTCACGTGTTTCTCAGCAGCCAGGCTCGGGTGGGGTCTGATGGAGATAGCAGCAGCAGCAGCTGTTGAGTAGGGRTAGCAGCGAACCTTGGGAAGTGTTACCTGCAAAAGGTAAAGTCCCTTGGCTTGGAGTCTGTTTTGGTTTCCCCCCCCCCCCCGCAAAAAAGTAATCCCCGTGTTTAGTTGCTCTATATCTATGTGTGTTARGATAGCTAAGCCTATCACAGGGTGCAGGTACAGAGCTCTAGGGCTGCCCCACTCTGAGGGGAGCCTGGGCTGGGTGTGAATTCAGGTGCTGARCTGGTACTGGGCTAAGCCGGAGCCGCTTGGGAAGTCCCAGCATCTCTCCATGTCGGTGCTGAGTGGCAGCAGGGCCAGGCTTGGCCTGGGCAGCTCCCCCAGCTGCTGCCAGCGCTGGGCAGGGCTGGTCGGGTCAGCCCGGACACAAGAGCCGCAGCCGGCAGAGCTGGTGGGGGCCAAGGCTTCCCCTATGTGGGAACTTACCTAGTCCATCTAGAAGTAGATGGGGAGATAATCTTGCTATTAAAATTAGACTGGAAGCAAAATTTCTGGGAGAATGTTTCCAGGTGAAGGAAAGCAGGAGATCAACAAAATAATTAGTTGGTTTATGGTCATGAAAGTTGGAAGATTTTATACTCAGAATGTCAGTAGTAGAATATACAAATGAAATGTGAAATAAAAATTTTTGTTTTAATCAGCAGAACTTCCACTGACCTTTGTTAGGGCAAGATTTACCAGGGAGCTTATTTCCGATTTCACAGCTAACAAACATGGCAGAAAAATAGCAGAGTCTCAAGTCAAAAGCCAATTTCTAAGTGTACTTTGCTTATCCTACTTGAGTATATACAAAAATCATTTTTTTATGTAATTGTACAGCTAGTCAATAATACYGTAATGAAAAAATGGTTCAATAGCAATAATATCCATCAAACAACTGATAAATGTACAGAAGTATTATTTTCTCAAGAGGAATAATGTCTTTTTATGAGAGTTCCAGATAAATGACTTCCCTCTTAAAATATGCTGCCTTGGGCTTGGCATTCAGTTTTGATGGATGCCTGAACTTCACCTTGGTATTTATTTAGCAGCAGGAGACTGTTATCCCAAGAAAACATTCTATCCCTTTGACATTATCTTTTAATTAAAATTTCTTTTTATTCTGGCCCTTTGTGCATATGTCTCTGTATTAGTTTTGTATATCTACCTTTTATTTCTTGTTACTGATTGCTTAATACTTGGTGCTTAATTAGCATTTGAGTGTTGCTYGGTTAATTAGATACAAATATAAGGTGTTAGTGTATTTTCATATAAAWTAACTTTTATAGTTGAATTAAAAGTAAATTTGCAGGTTGTTTCTGTATTTGCTGCATGTTGTAAGTCATTTTTTTCTATGTGTGTGTTGCCATTAATCATTCTGATCCACACTTTGATGCTTAAACCTTTCAAAATGGGAAGCTTACTTGCCATTGTTTTTCCTCCCCAAAAAAATCAATTGGAAATGTCCTCTCATTCATTCAACTTAGGTGGGATATCCATTGTTTTCATTTTCTTGCTCTTGTGCCAGAGTTAGCTGATTTTTTCCAACTTCCAGATGGTGCTTAAATAATGCTGAATACTAGCAGGCTCGTAGTACCTTTCTGTGCATTAGCTGACAAGGTGTGCACTCTTGGAGGCCCCCGACGAAAGCACTGTGCATATTCAGATTAGATGTTCACTTTTGCTGTGGTCTGATTTTTTTGTCTTAAGCATAAAGAGAAACTTAGTCAAGACCATATACCTATCTCAAGATGATACACACTATTTAAAATATTTTAAGTTATGAAATAGTTTCAATAACTTCTCTAYATTCTATAAATATTTCTCATTTGAGCATTTTGTAGTGGTTATAGTGGTTATACTTCAGTAATTCCTAGGAGTTCCTAGGTAGGCACTTGGAACAGCCTATGAGCTAGCTGTAATGGGCAGTCCTCACCCCAGAGACTTTATAAACCAATTGTGCAAAAAAAGGCAATTGCTTTCATGATGTCAATGAGCCTTCCTGCTGTCAATTTCACTGCCAACAGGTTTTAAAGGAATTATATGGGGCATAGTATTGCTCAATCTAGTCTTTAGGCAAAAAGGTAACAACTGCCTCATGCATTAAGTCTAAAATATGCTGAAAAGTGACCCATTGTTGATTCTGCACATCCTTTGTGCTCCAGGATTTCTTTGGCAGCAGAATTTTTAAGGGAAGTAAATCAGGAAACCTTAAATTAGTAAAAGAGTGCTGAGCTAGTAATGACATTTTTGGCCAGATTCACTCCAGATTTTATTTAAAGATGATCTTTACTTCAAATTATTTATCACTGCCATATTTAAAATTAAGTGAAATTTTAAAATCAGGTCTAGGATGCCTTAGTCTCCTAGAATAAAAGGGTGTGCTCATGCAGAAAATCATCACAGACCATATAAAACACAGCTTTCTTTAAGCTTCTTGGTATTCTTTAGAAGTAGGACTCAAGCTCACAGTAAAAAATTAGGAACTAGATTAATTGCAACCCAGCTTTTACAGTCCACTGGCATTATTTTCATACTGATAGCTCTATCTTGCCTTCCAAATGCAGAGAAAGTTTTTCATCTTACACACTGGCTGCTGCTGAGACAAAGTGCAATTGGAATGGTTTTGACAATATTATGGATAACATTATTGTCCTGTTGTAAGGGAGTTTATTTGTTGCCACATGCTTGAAAGCACTGGTGTATGTTTTTGTAATAGCCAGGAACCTATTAACTCTCAAGGTTTGGCCAGTTTAACGTGCCCTCAATCATTCAGGAGATTGTTCATTTCATGCAGAAAATCATAAAAGCACCTTTGAGAAGAGCATTCTTTCCAAAGAGAAATATTTTTTTATGATGTGGTTCCAATTTGAAAATGAATCAGAAAGACCCTTGGAATTCTTTTAAGGTACTTGTTATTGCTGTTCTTAAAGTGCAGAGATCCCCTCTCATGCAGACTCATTTGAAGATGGATCCTAGAGTCAGAATTGCTACCAAAAAAAAAAAAGCTAAGTTTTCAGATAAGCAACAAAATTTGTCTGGATTGTCCCATTTGAAAGAGATTGGCTGGTTGGGCCAACCTCTTATTATTATCAATTGTTAAAATCTGATCTGGATAATCTGTAGCACCATCATTCTCTAGTACAACAGAATCCATCAGCACAGCTGCGTGATAGTGATGTTAGAATGAGGGATGTTTGTTGTTATGCTACCTGATAGGCAGGGAGATAAAAAACCATCAGCTTTTCAACCTGTGATAGAACAGGTGATGTCTTTTTAGTTCTCATGTTTCTTGATGATGACCAAAGGACCAAAGCATTATGATGAGTGGTTGAAACAAGTGTTTTATCTAGAAACAACAGGGTTACAGTTAAATATAAAAGCCAGTGATAGCAAAATTCATAACACCGAACATTCTTTGATATATGAAGCAGTTTCATAGGTGAAGCAGTCTGTCAAAATGAGTCACTGCACTTTATTAATTTTATCCTGTTAGCAACTTTCCAGTTGGAATTTGCTTGTAGCACTGGTAGATGGCACTGGAAGAGCTAATGTAGTTGCAGTAGGCTTTAGCATAGCCTGGCACATGCAGGTACCATCCTCCATTGGAAGGGGGCAACTTGGCTGTCTCCAGTGTCTAACCTCTGTCTTTTTTATCTACAGTGCTCTGTATGTAGATAACCTGATTTGTTTCATTTGAGATGCAGGGTATCCTTACATTAAGGTTTGTCTTGCATCTTCAAGACTGAACAAAGAGTTTATTCAAAATGTTTTGCTGTCAAATCACTGAGTTTAGGCTCTTGAAAGAGATAATATCAGGGTTGAATCACCTGTTAAATGAATGTAAAGCAAAAAATGGAGTTTTCATTTATGTTGGTACTTATTTTTTCCAMAGAAATCTTAGTAAATGTTTTTAAATTGGGAGGGGGAAAAATATTTTGAGAACCTGTGGTGCTTTAATCTCTTTGATCTTAAAGGCTTTTATCTGTCATGTGGCATGACTGAGATCAGGCATTTACTTCCATGGTGTGTAAGAATGTGAAAGTATTGCTTGCTGTAGTCCAGCAGAGCAAAGTCTGTGCTTTTTATAGTTCAGAAGCTGTTACAGTTTTGTTTTTTACTATTCCTCAAAACAGATGGAAATGCAGTGCCTGAGTGCTCCTTAAAGATATCATTATTCTCGTCACAGTCCTATCTTCCTTGTTATTAGCCTAAGTCCTCCTTCCTTGCTGCATTGCATTTAGCCAAAATCCTCAGTTTTTAAAACAGTGTGTTCTCATAACCACCACTTCACAGCTTTAGTGTCATGCCATTATCAAAATAGGCTGTAGTCTATGGTAGAGAATGCTAATGATGCTAATCCCAGCAAAGGCTTAGTCAAAATAGGCTTAAAATAGCCTTTCAATTCACTAGTGTTATTCTGCTGAAGGCCCTAAGCTGACCAGTGAAAGAAGCTGTAAGACTTGCTTTATACTTTTACAGTATAAGTTTCTATAGACCAATATTAAAATGGAAAAAAAAAATGTATTTAGTACAAAGGAGTGCTTTCCAAAGCAAGAAGTTTTGAAAACAGTAATTCATTTGCCAGTCCCTTCAGAGGCACAACTAGTTACTTAACAGGGTAAACATGAGCACAGGAGAGAAATAGAATTAATTTAATAATGCTCTCTCTATTACCTCAAATGAGTCTCCCTTAATTTGTTTCCATTCCCCTAAAGCAAACT